TATCAGGGAAGAGCAAAAGTTGTTACTCTCCTTGGTTCAGATAACCCTTCTTAAAGCTGTAGCAGAAGGTTGGGTAGCAAGAGTGGTAAAATTAATGCAAAGCAACGTCCTTATTATAGAGGAGTGCATAAATTTACATCACCGTCACACTGGCTAAGCACAAAACTTCACCTTTGCCCCACAGGACAGTGAAATGGGTCTCTCCCTTCAGCCAAAAAGGCCCTGAAAGACCACAGGGCAACTGCAGAAGGTGGGACAGTCACACATGGTTGTACCCAAAACCACAAGACTAATTTTTTTTTTCCTTCATACCCCCTTGTATATGCTTTGCCATGCTACGAGCACCTGCTTGCAATAATACTCCTCAAAAGAAAGCAAATAGGCTATTTCTTAATCATCTCAAATGGCCTTCTGCAGAATGTGATTAGGCATTAGTGCTTCCTCCACCAAGCAGCGCGCATACATCCGCAGAAAGGGATGACTTGAGGACACAACAGCAACGAAAAATAAATGAATCTGTTCTCTGCAACAGGTAGTAGCCTACATCAAGGTTAATTTATTCCGGTGTCTTAATACACTCCAATATTTAGGGTACCAAGACATTACCATGTAACCAGATGATTACCCTCGCATGTGGGCTATGTAATGCACGGCGATGAGAAGGAGCTGAACTAAGGAATATGCTTATGCCTGCAGTGTGATGACAAGATATACTTTGCTCCTTCTCAAGAAGGGTAATGTGCAACTCAGCTTCAGACCAAGGCTGATGATCGTTTTGGTATTAAAATACCCATTACTGTATTTTATTTTTGCTTGATCGGTTTCTCTTATGTTGGCCCTTACATTCTACAAAATAGGGACTAGTAGCATAAAAATTGCATCACTTTCAATATTTTGCTGGCTTTTAATCAGGCAAGGCTTCCAGTTATAACCGTTTGATAGTTCTTCCCTCCCGGAGATGTGAGGAGCTGGAACAGACAGCCCTGTGCAAGGAACTGAGGCAGGAGCTGGGAGGTGAAAGCAGGAGAGGAAAGGACCCAGATCGCAAAAGGCATTCATTCGGAAAGCAAACAGCCAGAAGAAATTATTTTACTTTCAGGCCAGTGTTCAGACAGCCTAAATGTCAGTCTCTGCCAAATTACTTCCCGGTGTGTGGCTCTCAGTGGCTCCCTGCTCAGTACCTTACTTGAGACCCAGGGCTGACTCTTAAGAGACACAGTGCTGATCGGGAATACCAAGGGTTTAGGAGGAGTTCAAATGCCCTTCAAATGGCAGGGAGTTTTATTTACCTACTCATTTACTTAAGCTGTGCAGTTAGCTAATAGCTTGCACAGCACTTTGAAGCAGAAAAGCTCTAGAAAGGAGCATTAGAATTAGTCATAAAAGCTATCATAAAGAAAAGGCTTTCTCTCCCCCTCTCCCCAGCTTCCCTATAAACCCAACATCCCCAGCACTAAAAGAGTATTACCTCACACAGCAATGATAAAAGCCTGATCTTGAATAAAACAACGAACTGAACTCACAAATCATACCTAAAAAATGATAGTGAAAGCTTGCCTGGAAACTAAGATTTCAAAAATAACAACAAATCCATTTGAGATCCTCCAGACTTGCCTCTGAGCCTTTCAGCCCCCTTCACAGGGATCTGTACCGACAGCACAACTGTACAAGCCCTCTTCTCTTGCAAAAACAAGTGGAAAACACAGGCTATCACAAGACAGGTAACAAAACGATGAGGTTGTCAGCTATACCCTTAACATTGCTACTTTTCCAAGTTTAAGAATTTTCTGAGCTTTATCACCTGGGACACTCTACCCTTTCCTTCTGGTGTGAGGTTGATGTGTGCTGAGGGCCTCCTACAGCTCACTGAAGCGCTCAGCACTTGCAGGATAAAGCTTTGGATCAATGTTCTCAGCCTTGCAGATAAAAAATACAAATAAATCAAGCCACAACCAAAAAACTCCCTCTGGCAACCCAGAAGAAAGCTAATAGTCATTATATTCATCTGTAGGAAGTGAACTTTCCCTGTCCTTACTGATTTCTCTTATTAAGCACTCATCAAGCACTGATAGGAATTTTTTGCAGGAAATGGGAGTACAATGTGTTAGTAAGAAAAACACCAATAGAGCAGGCAGCAAATATGAGCCACTTGACATTTCAGGAAATTAAGTTATGCTGTGGTCCCAGCTTATAAGTTCAGCAAGACCCACAAGGGAACCCTTCGGAGACCTGCTGTGCTTTCATTTCAAATGTGCCTGCTACACGGGCTAATTGAGGGCAGTAGCTGTGTGTGCTCTGTCACAGCCATCCTGCTGCCCTTCCCCTCCTGTGGCGGCTCCTGTGCTGCTCAGAGACTGCATCCCCACACAGCTTTGTCCTTCTTTGTCAGCTCTTCTGGGGGTGAGGAAAAAGAGGATTTGGAAGGTAAAAAAAAAAAACAAAACAAAAACAACAGTGAAAACAATGATAGAGTTTCAGAGAAAGATGCTGAGATCTCTGTCAAACATTAACATATATATGTGTATATATTTCAGGATGGAAAGTTCAAAGCCCAAAGGATCTGGCTCCCTGTACAACAGATCACTCGGGGGCTGTGGGTACTGCAAGTACAAGCTGGTGTGCCAGGGTCAAGGACTGAAGCTCAGAAGTTGAGTAGCTTTATAGGTTGCTCTTGTTACCATGTTATCATGGGCAGAAAGCAGAAGGTTTAGCAACAGCAGTATTCAGGCCAGTAATGTGGGAGAGAGAAAAGCATCCTGAAATGAAGGCAGCAGCCACCAGGGATGGCGTTTGTCCAGCCATATTCCCAGGGCATCTCCTGCTGTAGACATGGGCACAGGTGACAGCAAACTACCTCATACAGACATCCTCTTCTTCGCCTAAGAGAAGACTGAAGCCAACTGGAGAAGCTGTGAGCTGCCACCCATGAGCCAATGTCCCAACAGGTTCTCAGCTGTGAAGATGGCAAGAGAAGGAGCTATAGCAAAGCCAAAGCACCCTTTGCAGGGAGGACAGAGAGAGGAAGGAACTTTGGAAGCTCCTAGGAAATGTGCCCAGGCACATTTGCTTTGGGAGACAAAGGACTGCACAGGTACAAACACAACTTGGGTCCCCAGGGCTCTACATTTTCCAGAGCATGCTTGGGGCATTTTGGTAAGCCAGCAGGATTGCAGCCAATGCTGCTGCTATTCCCAGTTAAAGGTACCTTCCTTTAAGGTACCACTCAGGAAACTACTCCTGACTCCTCCTGTTAATTTGGTGGGTGCTGATGCTCTCCCTTTCAGCCCCCTGAAGTGACTAGAGCTTGCAGCATAGAGCTTTGGACTAATCTGGGAGAGGCAGCTGGCTCACTGTTGGTCTGTGTACATAACCTGGCTAAGAAGGGCTTTGATATCCAGCTTAGCCATCAATCTGTTCTGTGACACCAGGTAAACAGACAAAAGGTAGGCCTGAGGAGCTGAAAGGGCCTGCTTGAGGTCACTCAGCTGGTCAAGGGAGGGTAAGAAGCAGTCATAACCTCCCCTTCTCTCCTCATCCTCATCCTCCCAGCAGAGCCCTGCTTCTGACAGAGAAACAGTCAGGGATGAAACAAACCCTGACAGCTCCACCCAATGAAGCATTATGAGACTGTAAAACAACCCAGCTACTGACCATCCCAACAGAGGAACAGCCAAAACCTTTTGGGGAAGGGGCACTGGGAGTCCCATCATCTTCCATCCCCTGTAACATCTGCTCCAGCATTTGCACTGTGCGCAATACAGGGAAGTCACGGGAAGGTAAAGCAATTAAAACAGTAATGCTGAAAACATTCACCTCCATGTAGGCGTGGAAACCTTCAAGTTTCCTTTTTATTATACGGATGGGATCCTGCTTTTCACTGGCACAATAGAAAATAGCCACAAAAATTCCACACACACAGCATCAGACCCTGCGACCAGCCTCGACACGCAGAGCGTCAGTAATAAAACACACCCCTACAGGGATATAGTGCTTTGGCTTGTGCTCAGCTGGGGGGGCTTGGGCAGGACTTTCACTCTTCAGACACAAAAAATATTAATTATAATCAGCTCTGTCATTATTTCAATCCCAACACTCCCCCTTCCCTGTCAGCAAAGGGGAAAGGAGCCATGCGCTGGCAGAACCGTGGGTTTTGCATGAACGAGGCCACGCGCATGCGTGCATCTGCCCTAGAAATCAAACAGAAGCTTTGGAAAGGGCATTCTGGGAAGGGTCCCCAGGTGCCAGAGGAGAAATTCGGGGAAATATTGTTTTATTAGAACAATTACAACAGCTGCTACATGCACTTCCTTATGCGCACAGAGGCACAGCCCTCTTCCTGTCTGTCACACACAACCCCTCTACCACAGAGGCTCTTGCACAACCAGGTGCTAAAGTAGCTTCCAGCTGAAATCTGTGCAGAAGCCAGGGCCCTTCTCTTACCCAAGTTCCACACATCCCTGATATGTTTGTTCCCCTCGCACCTACTCCCAGTGAAGGTCCTGCCCTGTCCTGTCCCACCACAAGAAAGCGAGTGCCCACAGTGCACGCTTAGGGAAGGTTTTGTGCTGGCACCACAACAGGTCCTGCAGTCATTAGGGCAAGCTTGGAGTGCAGAGGGTCTGAAATGGCCAGCCAAGGTAAAGACAAACCAGGGACTCCTCAAATGCTCTCCCTTCCTCTAGACTCCCCTTTCCTCCCTTTCTAACTGTCTTTTGCCATGAGCTGAAGTAGTGGTGTCTTGCAACAGCATTTAATCAATGGTTAAGTTCAGGGTTAGCTGTTGTTTGTCAAACACCTCTATGCTTGTTCATTTGCATGGAAGAATAAGACAACAAAAAACATCCATCTCTCCATCAGAATTTGCAAGGCTGCTACCGCAATGCCTGGAAACCTTCTCCCCTTGGGTCCTGGTTAGACTAGTTGCAAGGCACAATTCCTGATTTTCCACTACACCCTTCCATTTCATTGTCACTTTCTCCTTCCAGCTCTACTCCACCCACCTGTCTGAGCTATTCCACTTCAGCCCTTTATCTGGTATCCAGTTTGAGAGCTTGAGTGGGATGGTCTCCTCAGTAGCTGTCTGTGTAGCGTCCACCAACGCAGCATCCTGATACACATCTAAAGGCTCTAAGCGGTCATCCATGAACCTGTGGGGACACAACTGTGTTGGCTTTCATCAAAAAGCCTCCAAAGGCAGAAAACACACGCAGACCAGTGTCCCTTTCCCCCCTCTTACAAACACTCCCTCCTTCCCAGTTAACCTGCAATGCAAATAGAGTTTGGGAAGAGCTCCAGGCAGAATCCCTGGACAGTCCAGACTACCCCTGGACGTACTACATGGCGGCACTCCTCTGCGCTCCCCCTGCATGTAGCTGCAGGGCTTAATCTGCAAATTAATCCCGATGGACAATTACTAGAAAGATGGGGCTGTGATACATGATGGAGTGAGACAAGGGGGACAACTACAGAGACGTGCTGGAGCCTATCACAAAATCCGTAGCTTGAGACCGTCAGCTTAATTTTCACCTTCAGTGCTGCTGCTTACGCTTTCACCTGGCCGTGCACCCAGCCACAGCTGATGAGGTCCCAGATGCTGCTGTTCAGGTCTGTTAGCATGATGCCTTTGCTTTGTGCAGGTGTTGGCAACCACACTTGCATACAAAGCAGGGCAAGATCAGCCTAGTCTGGGGAGCAGCACTCCAAGATCATCACTGGAGGCTACATTTCAGCTTGCAGGCCCCACCCCACAGGGGATAGGATGTCCTCTCCCTTCACACAGTTGCACTCCATCCGTTCCCAGCAGGCTCGTGCACCAGAAACAGGAGGATGTTGTGACCAAGGCTCAGAGCAAGGCCCTACGAAACTTGAAATTAAATAACTTTTCTGGTTAGACTTCCTTGGGGCAAACCACTTCATTGCAACTCACTATGCCTCAGTTTCTCCATACGGATGTTGGAGGGATGTCAGACTTCTGAAGCTCCAGAAAATCTAAAATGGATAAGGGTTAAAAAGCTAAGGGTTGCTGATGAAGCCCAATAACATCCCAGCTACCTCAGAAGCATCTGTCCATCTGAAGTTGATACCCAACAAGCCTTTGTAAAAAGAGGTCAGTAAGAAGACAGACAACTTTTTGACCTGTAAGAGAGCCATCATACTTCCAGCAGAGGCTTGCAAAGTGCTCAAGCACCTCTAACAACAGTGCTTCAGCTCTAAGAATCGAGGAAGAGTAAAAGCATTTGCAACGGGCTCATAGCAGGATGCATAAAGGTCTCCCAGAAACATGACACCTAGACAGGCAAAGCATGGATGTCTACAAAGTGTTTCTGCAGGGGCAGAACATTGGCTGAAGCTGTGAAAGATGTAGCTCAGCAGCTCGCCCCATTGCCCTAAATAACAAGGTGGTGGCATCTGGGATCCTCCCCCACCAGGCCCGCCAGCAAATGCCCCAGCAATCCCTGCCTGTGTGCGCCCCTGTCATCACGCTCCGCCGGGCATTAGTAGAGGACAGCACCCCACCCCAAGAAGACATGGGGCATTCCTGGCACCTCGCCCCGAAGGCAAGGTCATCAGACTCTATGACAAATTCTTTGCCTGCCGCATCTCCGGTGGTATGCAGGGGAACACAATCCTGCCACGAGCAAGAGCCAAGTTTGATTAGGGCTGATCACTCTCAGATCCTTCCTGTGCAGATCTCTCAAACAGGGACTTACTGGCTGCCCTGAACGAGCCCAGAAGCAAGGGCATGAAGGCTTGGAAGGGAGTTTGGACAAGTCTCATTGGGATATAAAGCAGAGCTGTAGAGTCCATCAGAGCAGATGGTCTTCCTGGATGGAAGTACAATGGAAAGATGCACTTTTCCCAGTGCCCTACAACCCAGCACGCACAAGACACCACAAATGGACATGGCAGAGCCTTCCAGGCATCCGTTCCAACTTGGCACTGACATGGACCTTGGAACAGAGCAACTCTGGCCTTTTCCAAAATGATTCGCTTGACACAAGGCTCAAATACTTGGCTGAGCCGAGCAGGGATCCACCCTCATTCTCCCTCGGGCACTCTCTGTGGGACCTCGAGAAGGTCCATGTTCTCTACTCCGTGCTTCAGCTCCGTGTTGAGGACAGCAGCCCTTTCTCACCTCGAATGAGAGCTGTGACTGAAATCATTAACACAGAGGACATTTGGGCCCTGTCCTGAAGTCCTCCTGGTCACATTTTCCCTAGCACCATCTGCTTTGCAAATGCAACAAGCTAAACTAAACAACCCCCCCGGTAGCTGAATTCCTTGCATCTCAGAAAACTACATGCATCCCGGTGCCAAAGTAAACAATCTCACAGATAGTTTACATCAAAAAGAGCACTAATTTCATTGTAAGCAAAGGAACAACAAATTGGTTCAAAGCCTGCCACGGTGCACTGCATGGAAACTTCTCCCACCTAAGAAAACCATAGTTCAAGGCACCCTTGTGCTTTCTTCAGGTGGATCTGCCTTTTTTCCTGTGTTCACGTGCAAGGTGACAATTATGGGATATAAGCAAATATCCAACAACTCAATCCCAAACTGATCCTCAGACAATGGATACCACCAGGCTGAGAGGAAAAAGGTCAGGGGAGGGGAAAGGTGAGCCTCCTGTTTCCACATGAGGCTGGGAGCTGGTCTAGCTTTGGCTCTGACAATTCCAGAGCTGGGGGGGATCATCTCCTTTGGGAAGAGTCTTGCAGCCCTGGCTCCAGCTAGGATCCCAGGTTTGGCCGGATGCAGGCTGAGGACAACCCTGCTCAGACTGCACTGCTCAAGAAAGCTGGGGGATTTATGTTGGTCATTTATTAACTGGCTCTAGTACCAGTTTCTTTCAAGTCCTCTATGCTCATGGCATGTTTCAACCAGTGGGACCCATAAAAAGAGGCTTTTTAATCTGGACTATAAAGAGTTGCAATCTAAAAGCATGTCCCAGAGGTCTGAGCTCACCCATGCCACTGCTAGGAGGAGAACAAAAGGAGGAGAAGCGGGCTGCTTGGTGGCACTCCCCCCGCCCCCCAGATCAGTATGGCGCTTTTCAGAAGTTGTTATGGAGAAAAAGAAAATGAAAGAAAAAAAAAAAGCCACCCTATAATCACTTCAAAGTGCATTGATTTGGAATCAAAATGCAGAGAACAGATTATTTTCACATGCTCCAGCTCCTGCAGAGACCCATGTAAACCCGTGCAACACCCCAAGGCGAGTGCAGAGACTTGGGAAACAGGCTGAATCCCAGGGGCTTTGCTAAATATTACAGACAATTCTCTCTGGTACCAGTTACAGCAAAAGAACCAGAGGAGATGAGACACTAAAGAAGGGCAATAAAAAAATGTTTTTCTTTTTCCTCTCATTACGTACTCCTGGAGGTGGCATACTGCAGAGAGCAACTAAATTAAGCAAACTCATTCCAGTGCTTTATACGTATTGATTATTTGACAGTCTCCCGTTAAATCAGTAGCTTTAAAAGCTCTTATGTAAAGGACATAGCAGAAATGCATAAAGCTTGAGTTTGATATCGTCTATGGTAGTGTAAATCAAAAACAAGTCCAAAGATAAGAACAGAATTAGAGTGGATACAATAAGTACACAAAAAAGGACTCAAAGCAGCTTACAGATTTAATGCATTCTGCTGATGGGGTTGCAACGGGGGAGGAAGGTTGTTTGTTTTTTTAATCCAGAGAGTTTTCATGCATACAGAAAAACAGAAGTAGATAAGGGATCTAAACCTAGATCCCATTGCAATCTGAGGAGGTTTGCCTATCAATTTCTGCGGCTTGAAGCACTTGGTTCTGAAGGCAAAGTTCAAATGAATATTGCCCAGGTGGCACTGCACAGCCCTCACTTTGCTAATCGTCATGCTGGAGCAGCCGATAAATTGGCAAAACTAGTTCGGAGGGCAGTCAGGGGAGGGATGGAAGCAGCACACGGTTGCCTTGGAGTTATCCAGGGTTATCTACACATCACGCTGTACGCTCCCTGCTTCTCATAATTAGAGTGTCTAGACAGGAGATGATGCTGGTGAAGCAGCAAGTAAAAAGGTTTTGCAGAATTTTTCAGAGGAGCCCAGCTAAAGCAGTGATTACAACAGAATGACAGACACAAGACTTGCAGAACCCAGCTGAGATTAGAGCCAATTTTGACCTGAGTAAAGGTCCTTTCATAACCCTTCACATCCCAAAAAAGCTGCTGAATCAGAGCCCTGACGGCTCAAGCACTCAGGAGGGCTCAGTTTTTGAACCAGCCTCAGACTGGAGGTTTCTGCAAAAGTAATTGCAGCTGTGTCTCAGCTTCATCCAGATGCTGGCATTTAGCAGCCTCAACTTGTGTAAACCAGCTTCACTCCACTGAAGTCAACAACAATTGACACCAGCTGAGAATCTGGCTCTCGGTGCGGTTTAAATATAGTCTAAAGAAAGAGAACTTACAGAAGGATTGCCCAATTCCTCATGTCCATTTCTCCCTTGGGGTAGGGCTGAATAAGATGATTTTCTTCTTTTTAATTTAGCCCCAGTTATTTTTAACAACAGCATTATGAGCTCACATTTATTACAGCACCTTCCGTCCTGCAGGAGCCAGGCTGCGTTTCAGGCTTCACCAGGAATCACCGAGAGAGACAGACTTGATGCTCTGCACAGCACGGGGAAGGAGCCACCTCTGAATGCAACGTAGTGGATGCTCAGCGTGCACAGAAGCCTGGCCACAAACAAAACAAATCGTTGAGGGTACTGAAACAATTCAGCTTCAGCATTGCAAGAGCAAGCCCCAGCCATGTGCACCAGGAAGCAATCCAAGTAGCAGTTTCCAATCTTGCTCGAGCTGGCCAGGAGATGGACACGATGTTTTCACAGCCATGCAGGGTGCCACAGTCACACACTGTGGCCCTATAAGCACAAGGAAAGACTACCACATGTACTGCTGGGGAAAGGCAAACATCAGTGACTTTTGGGAAAGGAAGAGTAGCTTGATCGCTCCCTGCTGTGACAAAGCAGCACTCCATCAGCATTCCCTCATCGCTCTACCTCAAACATCTCTGAGGAAGTTAATGGATCTGGCTCATTCATACGCAATCTTCACATAGATGTTACCAGGTTCGAAAACTTCAACAACACTTATTGCCTAACTAAAGTGGGGGAGCATCAGTGCCAGTGGCAGGCAGATTGAGGGCGTAAGATATGATTTGATTCAGAGGACCCTTCAGAAACCTGAAAGGTCTGACAGCCCTGTTTGGGAGCAGGTGGGATAGTCGCCAACTCTTTTTCAGTACAGAGGAGAAACCGGGAAATTGGAAGAAGAAAAATAAATTGTCTCATGGTCTTAAATCTGTGTGGTTATGCTAGTGATAGAGTGACGCCGACTTTTGTCAACAGCAGTACGGTTCATTTTTTCTGGGCTCAGACTAGGAAACTAGGGCCCAGTTAGAGGCTACCATATGGAAACTGCTGGGAAACAGCATCTTCCAGAGAGTTCCCCTCAAGCCACCACAGAGCAATGGAAATGCAGCAAATAAAAGCTGCAGCCACCACCCAAATGCTCCATCAAAGACATGAACTCTGGCCTTTTTTCTTTTTTTTTCTCCTTCTTCTTTTTTTTTAAATAAATAAATAAAAAAACAACACCACCACAAACAAAAAAACAGATCCATTAATGAAAAATAAAGCACAAGGCAAGGGGTGATGAAAACAAATAAAACTAAGGCTGTGAAATGCCTGGTATGTAAGATGTGTTGAAACTTGCTGCTGACAGCAGCTTGAGCAGACATTCACATGCAGCCATTCATAAGATGCACAGTAATTACCTTCTCCGGGAGACTGTATTATGATGATTTCTTTAAGCAGAGCACAATATCTCTAGCAACAGGATATAATTACAGCAAAGGATATGCCTCTTAACCTCCCTCCACCCCCCACAGCTGGCTCAGGGAGAGAGCTGGGAGCCAGGGGCTCCATGGGGAGGGCAAAAGAAGTTTACCCTGTGCTACCACACTCGTTACCTGGAGTCGAGCACATGTTTGATGGGAGATTGTGGTGGCATTGCTCTCACAGGAGCCCAACCTCTCTCCCCCTTGGCTCAGGGTGGGAACACTCCCGCCGCAGCAGGACTTGGATAGAGCTGGCAGCAGCCACGATACCACCAGAGGAGTTCGGCACAGCCAGCCTGCTCTGGGCTGACACCTCGGTGGTAAATAAATAAACACCAAAAATAAACAAGCAAGGGAATGACTCAGAACTGGAACGTGGTGGCAACACGGCGAGGTGGCGGCACTTCCCACCTCCAGCCTGCAGACCAGGACCTGGCTGGCCCCAAATACCCCAACTGCAGAGCCTCTTCAGAGACCTAGCATGTAATAAATAAAAAAAATAAAAATAATAATAAAAAAAAACACCACAAGAAGAAACAAGGCTCCTAGATAAGAACTGGCACCGTGCCCAGCATGGGCTGGGGCATCTCTGGGGGATGGATGCCACCTCCTGGTGATTACCTGGCCCACCTGCAGCAGCTGAAATGCCAGAGTTGGTGCTCCCAGCCCAGTTTCCTAGGACTGGCCATTCTGTTTTAGGCTATGCAGTTTCCCTCACTGTAGCAGTTCACAATTGTCCAGACATTGCTGCCATACATAAGAGCCCTCCTAAATGTTTGAATTGAGGAGATACACAGTGGAAGCAAGTAACACCAAACCCACTTACCTCAACTCCTGCAGCTCTGGTCCTTGAGAGAGGACAGGAAATTCTATTGCTGTAATGTGTTAGATTAAATGCATGGAGTGTCCAAATGCCCATGGCAGGGATTTCCATAGTGCTTTGTACTAGATGGATCCCAGAATTGGAAAAAGTTGAAAGCAATGGCAGAGCCCAGGCAGCTGTACACTCAGCCTCTCGCTGCTGCCATCCCCTCCCTGGTACTCACTTCTCCAGATGCATCTCTGGGATGAAGAAGCAGCTAACACAGTTGAAGGGGGTGAGAAAGATTTGCTGTGCTCAGGAGCTGCTCAGCATGGTGAAGTCCTGTCTGCAGAGTAGCAGGTAGGAGGACATGAGCAGTGCACTTGCTCCTTCTTGTTATTTCTGTCAGTCCTAGGAAGACAACCAGAGAGTTAACTCCCAGCCCCATGTCTTCCCACCCCACACCAAAAATGCAGTGCTGCATCCAACCCAGGGCTCTGCTGTTTCTATCCCATGCACTGATTCTCTGAAAATCAAAACAGAAGCTCAACCTTCGTTTTCCAAAAGCATCCAGAGCAGGAACTCTCAGTGGGTTGGACTGTCCATACCAGATATTGAGAGCAGAGGGTCAGGGATGTTTTCAGATCTCTTTTTCAAGATCTAGATGAGTCTACTTCCCATTCCAGGGTAGAGAAAGTTTTATTTAGATGGGAGATTGAAAAGCTCCTCTCACATAAAATAACTGAAACAGACAGAAACCAACATTTTCCTCTCTGGCCTGGAAATCATCTTACAAGTGAGAGTCAGCTTGGTGCAAGTCTGGAGGCTGTGATATCAGTAGGAGAATTTCCCTTCCATTTACAAAAGGAAATGATTTCTGCATCCACCGGATGGCAGTGTAGGGAGAGCAATCATATTAGTCGTAGTATTATTTTCCTTTTAAGCCTCTCAGAAGTGATTGCAGACACAGCATTTCATTGCTTATTAAGATCTCCCTGCATTACAACCAGGGAAAGAAATCTAGGTCTCATTAATAAACTATCTTGTAGGATCTCTATTAGAAGACAAACCTGATTAGCCAACAGCATTCAATACATGATTTGGCTTGTCTGACAAAAGAAAAAAGAAGAAATTCATTGGAAGGGAGTGTGTTTTACATAGTCCACTCTTTACAATAAAAAAAAAAGCTTTTCTTTAGAAATACAAACAGTAAAAAAAGCAATATCTCTAATAAAACAGAAGATAACCTCATGCATCAGGCTGGTCCATGCTGACTGCACACACAAAGTTCAGTTCAGAGTTCAGATTCTGCAGGACTCTGGATTATTCTAAGCCCAAAAAGGCAACGTTTTCTTCAGCTTCTGTTGGCAAAACATTTGGATGAGCAAGAAAGGAAAGTCTATAATGCCCTGCCCTACCCAAGACTAGAATTTATCTACCATAGTGAGCAAGTTTTCTTTCCTGCGCAGCATCAAACTCCAAATAATGAAGCTGAATGCTAAGATCGAGGTAAGTAATATTCCTGAAATCCATCGCATCAACAAGACGACTGCCCCAAGGTACCAAGTGGTGGAATACTAGCAGAAAAACAAAACATTTTAGAAAGCCAACCCAGCGGCTGTCTTATTGCCGCTAGAGGGCAATAGCAAACAAGCGACCAAAAATCTAGGGGTGAGAAGTTGTTTGCAGAAAACTGGTGAAACTGTCAAACTGCCTTCAGTGGGGCAGTGACCCTGGGAGCAGCCTGTGATGATGATGATGAGCATCTTGTGCCCACCAGCACAGCCCTGCTGCAGTGGGCAGGTAGCTCCCACGGTCGGCTTCGGGTTTTGGTTCGTCTGGGTCAGTCAGTGGAAAATATTCACTGATGGTTTGGGGCTAGAGAACAGCCACAAGCAAAAGAAGCACTTTTAACGGCATGTATTTAAGCATCATCAAACGGAAGGTGGTCAGATGCCGTTCTGAACAGATGACTGATCCAACATAGCACATCGTTTGATTCCAGATGTGGCAGGGAGCAAGAAAGGAGAGGCTTCGGCAGCCAGATCTATTTGGCTTACCAAAGGGAAGGCTTGGAGGTGATTTGATCTAAATCTATCAACGTGTCTCAGCTGGGGTGGTGGTGGTGGGGAACACAACTGTGAGAGATGCTAAAAGGCTCCAAGAACCCAGCAAACAAAAATGTAACTAGTTCCAGAAGCTGAAATTAAAAGCCGGATAAAATCAAACTGGAAATAATACGAGCATTTAAAAATTAAAACTTGCAATAATGCCAGTAGTTAATCACTTGAACAAATCATGTAGAGGAGAGTTTTATTCTCCACCCCTGGAGCACTTAAAACAAGATTTGCTGTCTCTCTAAAATATGTGCTATAGCTTAACAGTGAATTATTAGCCTTGATGCAGACATTATGGGTCCAGGTCTCGTCTGAATGAAGCAGAAGGTGAGACTAGATTAGCAAAATGGTCTTTTCTTGTAATTATAGTCTACAAAGACCAAGGTTCTTCTTGCAGAGAATTGTCTCAGTTGTCGAGGCTGACTCCCACTTTTGCAAACTCCCTTCACAGGCTGTGTCACTGCAGAAGTGGCAGCAGCTCCAAGGACTCCACCACACAAGGAACAGAGGCGGCCTCTGGCTGTTGGGGCAGCTTCTGTTGCCCAGTCATTACCCATCTCTTCAAAAAAAAAAAAATCACGGACCTAAACAAACCTTTCTCCTGGCCAAATTGTCCAGGGCCAACCGCTGCTGGGTCATGCTGTGCCCCCGGTTGGCGCACCAGTTCCTGGGCTGCGGTGCAAGCAGGGAAGAGACTGGGGCAGGAACTGACATATGACAGTGATGGAGAAGAGGTCTGGCCCAGTTTCTAAGGTTTGAGCCTCCAAAGACATTAGTCACACCGAAGTCATGTAGCAAAGAAAGTAATGTCTGTAGTGTTTACCCTCTTTGCCCCCAGACCTGGGCCACAGGGAGATCTTTATTGAGGGAAAAAAAGGGATTTATAGTGGATACAGCTCCGGGGGAGCTGCACAGACGAAGACAGACCTGTGACTCAAGCATCTGAAAGCATCATACCGCAGAAACACCCCCAGCCTCAGCCCAGCCCTTGTGTGCTGTAGGACAGACAACACCAACATAAACAAAAGCTCAGCCTTTCCCACCAGAGGCACAAAGCGGTGCTGTTCCAGCTACAAACTATTTCCAACCTACCCAAATGTCAGTGCTTTACAAGAGTGGACAGTTATAAAACAGACAGCATGTGATGACAGTGCGCTGGCCTTTGCAGTAACTCAGGGGCACTTTGCTGCCGGAGCAGCACAGAGATGGTGCAGGAATGAGGCAGGTAGAGAGCAGAGAGCAGCAGAAGCACACAGTGCTCGTGCTCCTCTGCGGAGGGAGGGCTTGCAGATGTTTTTAAGTGTTTTGTCAAGGCTGAAAGGTGCTGTCAGTGACGGAGGGAGCTCACTGCAACACGCTGCAGACACAGACGTGACATGCTGCACCGAGCGGTGGATGATGGCCACACGTGCTGAAGTGAGGGTGCTGGCCCAGGTTGCGTCTGCCAGGCCTCCAAAAAGCTGTCTGGCCGCTGCAGTGAGGGGGAGCTCCGCGTGCTGGGCTAATGGCTCGGTTTACTGAATTGGAAAAACAGATGAAAAACAACAACAACCCACAAATTAAAGCAAGAGGGTCTGCTGTGAGAAGGAATGTGATAGAATGTGTTTCTACATCGCACTATTTTGTAGGACAAGAACATGCCCTGGTCCAACCTCTTCCAAGCATCCTTCCCCGTGACTCGTGTGCAGCAAGTCTCCTCTTCTTCCTCCCACTAACCCCAGCCCCACGTAAAGCCTTTATGGGTGTCATTCCTGCTTTCTTCAGGCTTGAACTCGTGTCTGTTCACAGACGTGATCTCAAATGTCTGCACCCTACCCTGATAAAAAACAAACATGTGTGAGGGGGGCTCCTGTTTGGCCAAAGTAACCAGCAGTTAAAACCCATCTCCTAGGATCGGCCTGCAATGCCTTTCTTCTTCTGCTGGCGTGTAACCAGAGGAGTTCTGCAAACCAGCAGATCTGCAAATCAACAAGTTGTACTACTACTCCTGGCGGGTCACCTCCAAAGCACAAGGCCCAGAGCGACAGCGGTTCTACACCTTGCCACAACCAGCAGCACAGGGGGGGCACCTTCATGTCTGCTTGCATAAAGCGCCCGCTGTGATCATAAATGTAATTGCTGGAGCTAAGACCATGCTCCTGCACTACCCTCCTCAATTCACAGAAGGGGAGGGAGGAGGTTATGGGTCAGCGAGTCTGATACAGGCAGCTGTCAGACTGCCACAGCACCGGTGCATGTAGGAAAGCGAAAGCATCTAGGTGGGAGTGCACAGCCGAATGAGGGGTCAAAGGGTTAAGAGAAGAGAGCCCATTATTCATCACTACCACTGTGTTCCAGGCATAAGAAACATTTGGAGCTAATTAGAGGGAGAGCAGAACAATGCACTAGAGAAAGCAACAATGCCTTGGTTCAACCCAGCAGATGAGCTCCGTGCTCAGAGCAAATTGGTCTAAAATGAGTATTGCTCCATCTCAAAACCAGGAAGGTGTGACCTACTTCTCTGACCCTGGCATCAGCTGGCAGGAAGAGAATTGACAGAATGATTCTTCATTCCTGTTGCGAGGAGATTGAGCATATTCAGTTCCGTGTCTCAGAAATAAAAGCCAGCAGCTTGGCCAGCTGATTTGGGGTAACTAACAACACAGATCTGCGCTCATTAACTAAGCTGGCTTATATTGCAAAGATCTCCAAGCCAACAACTAAACAAGCCGGGTATGTAACTTAGGAACCTTACTAGTAGCCTTAATATTTTGAAACGTAAAGTATATCCAGCTTTTAAATGATTTCATGGGACATTTGGTGAGACTTCTGCTCCTGAGCAGCGACAATTTCCCCAGCTGAGACTATGGCACCTGAACGCTACGCTGTATGCGAGATCCGGGAAGCACTTTGGGCTGTCTCGGATGAACACTCCCAGAGAATTGCAAATAATTAGCTGTAGATCTGGAAGTTATTTTCCAAAGCCACTTAGAATTTGTGGTGTCAGACTTGATTTTATTGTGAACCGACTTTTTGGGTGTCATCTTTTAGCGAAGCCACTCTCAGACACTCAGTCTGATCACAGAATTCATGCTCTGAAGAAGAAATGATTGCTTCAAGTTTTGATGTCTGGGAAGGAGGGAAAATGATCAGGGCTCAAAGGAAACCCATTTATCAGTGGAATTGTGGGCTGCAAGGGGGTATTTTTAGGCATCCTGATTCCCAAGTATTTGTTGACATAGAAATCTTGAAAGCTCCTGTGTCAGAGAGCATCCCAGTGAGGGCGGCATGGCCACTACCTCTGTTTGGTAGCCACTCAATAGGCAGCTTTAAAAATTTCTGTCTTCGGACAGAAATTACAGCACCAACATCTGACAAACACCAACGACCTTTTATAATGAATACCCACCAAGCACTTTCAAACCTTGCACAAACTACTGCTGTACTCGAACTAGCTTGAACGCCCCTCGTTGACATGCCTACACAAAACACAACAAAGCACAGGACCTGGAGGATGGCAGCAGGCTGTCCTAGGGAAATGAAAATTGTCACATCAGCCAGCCTGACATCCTCAGCACCTCGGCTGCGCTTCCTTCACAAAAGGAAGAGCAGGTCACATCAGATTTGCCCTCCTTGGCTAGATGGGCTATTTAAAAATAAAGCAAAATGCACGATCGCTAGGACAGACAAGTGCTAACTCAAGTATCGTTGCTAAAAGGAGGTATTACCTCCACTGGTCCAGAATGTGGACGTGCCTGACAGCCGCCAAGGATCACAGCTCCATTCCCTACCCACAAGGGACCTGCACTGTCACTTCCAGTTGGCACTTAGCCTATCATTAGGCTAAGCAGCCTGCAGTATTTGCCGTGTAATTACACTGCCATGGCAGTATGCACCCAGCCATTACAAGATAATTTCTCTGTAGTTACCATTATATGCTAGAGGCTTTAGTGTATGGATCATAGCCCCGGGGCTGCCACTTGCCAGACCAAACACCACTATGATATTGCAGAGTCGGCTGCCTAACTAATTTCTTCCCTAAAATAAAATTAACACACGCACACAAAGAAGGGGAAGAAGTTGAAAAAGGAGGCAAAATATTATTAAGAGCAGGGATACAATTCCAAGCAAGAAAAGAGAAATCTAGTATCTGTGTTCAGTGGAATCCACAGATCTGGATTCCCGTCTCTGCCAGAAACTCCCAGCATCACAAAGCCTATCCAGTACCACAGTACAGATCCTGGGGAGCAGCGATAGAGTGGACATTCGATGAGACGCCAGTGTTGAGGTCAATGTATCCCCAAAGGAGACAGAAGAAGCCTATTGACAGATTATTGAGTGATCGAACCACTTGCTGCTGGAATCCAGCTATATTCCCTACCCTGTGCTGGCCACAACAACTGGATCACAGCAATGCTTTTGAGTGCAGACACCTGTGTGCACCAACACCAGCATCAAACCAGCTTACAGAAAAGGATCTCCTTCATCCCCTCTTTGTTTGGTCTGTTCCTAAGGTAAGATCTTTGGATAAGGTACTGAACGAGACTTGGGGTACATGTGAACACCATCTAGCACCAGGAGCTCCAGCATCAGCTTTGGCATCCTGTGACAAGGATACATAAAAGACAGACTTGGCGCCTTCAACCTGGGATTTATCACCAAGGTGTTTCTGTGACATCTGGGATGAAAGCCACGTGGTACTGGCTGTCTGCTAGGTTGGAAGATTTTTATATTGTTTTTTTAACAAGAACAGCATCTACAGGTGGGAAAGCCATTTACTCAGTCTTCTCTGCTTTCTTCTGCCTTCACCCACCCCACTAAGATCAGCTGATGCTTTTTGTATGAAGTACCACTTCATGCAAAAGCAGAACGTGATTTTTGGTTATGGACTTGGCCTGAGCAGCAACCAGGTGTGAAATGGCTTAGTCCCAAGTTCAGGAAAACTTGGTGAAAAGTGAGAGGCATTCACCGCCACAGCACTGCCATGGAGATAAATGCTTTACACCATTTCTAAGCTAAGCTTTCTCCTGCTTTCAAAAGTTTTTTTCAAGCACGTTGAATAGCAAAGTATGAGAGTGAGAGAATACATCAACGCCAGCTTTCTATCAGCGATGCTGACTCCTTCAGCAGCTATCCATTCTGTTACTGGCATAAATGGTCACCTGCCTCCCAGCTACATCAACCTCCACTAACTCAAGATCAGGCAGAGACTTCTGTTCTGCTCCTCTTTAGGATGACAAATAGAAATATGACAAGTTTTTCAGAAAGTATCACAGGGGAGCGGTACTTAAGAGTTGGAAAAAAGGCCTTCTTGCAATAGATGACATTTTGTGAATGATGTCTCATGCTGATATACAGCTGTTTAGCACAGAATGGCTTTCAAAAGCACCTAAACCCAATCCTGCCAGTATCTACTTCTGCACTTTTCAAATGGCTTTGGGAGACCTCAGAAGTGTCAGGAACAGCAATGGATGTTATTCTTGTCTCTGCTAAATGTAGGGTGCCACCTGCAAAGATCCTTAAGTACAGAACATTTACACTCCCAGACATGAGTGATGTGCCACCTATTAGACAGAAGAGTTGTCATTTGCCAACTGCTAGGATTTTCTTAACTAGAAATAGGCACTGCAGAGAAGCACCGAGTTCCAGCAAAAAGAAGAGCTCTGGCATCAACCTTTATTGTTTCCTTTAAAGAAATTGCTAGCAGAGACCTTTAAAGTGAAAATCAATAATGATTCAAATTCCCATCTCTCCTTGCCAGCTCTAAGCAAATCACACACGCACTGACGTTGACGTATCTTATCTAAACAAAGCAAATAGTAATAACTTCAAAAATGCATCCAGAACTTGTAATCAGTAGGTCTCCATGTCCTTTTCAAAAAGGACTGTGTAATTATCTCAGTTTTATGGGTGATTATCTGTATTTTAATGGTGGAATAAGTTAGGAAGAGGAATTAGCTTCCTCAGATGGCCAATGAAATACCAAGGAACAGAGCCAGAATTCCTGAATCCCCATCGAATGCCCTCCAGATAACACTCTTGTTAATATCATCAATTAGAAACATTATATATCACCCATCTTCAAAGAATTTCAGTGAACAGGTATCATGAGCATTAAACCAAACTGCATCTTGGTATCCCATTGCACCACCTGCTTTGATCATTTGTGCTCTGTGCTTCTAATTCATGTAATTAATAGCTTCCATTCTAAGAGGAGTGATATAATTGACTTATCTAGCAGTCACTTCAGAGAGAACATTATTGGCAGGAGGTCTGCAGTCTAAACACATGCCTATTTCTAGATAAGCCAGGTCAAATACCACCTCCTTGTGAAGCAACAGTAGCACAAGGACCAGCATAAGCCAGCCGGTCAGGCATTTGTTCTTAGCTCACATAGCTCAGATGCACCACAGTGATGGATCTCTCCCAGGCTTCCCTTGTTCTCTTTCCAACAACCCATCACACATCAGCACCTCAGCCAGACTCCACATGTACCTTCGTGACCTCTCAGTCAACAGCTCTGGGGAGTTTACTCTGAACTCATCTCAACGTAGATCTTTTACGGTTTGTTTGAACACTCCTAGCTAAAATGAGGGAACATTGCAAAAGATTACTAAAATAAACCTGACAATAAAAGATAACAGCTAAAATATGACTAGTTCTGCTTCAATTCCAGGTCGTCAGACTGATTTCATGTAAGTGGTGCCCTGATAGAAAGCCATTACCGTTAGTTTGCCTCACATCCTGCACTCCGCAGTACCCAAGTCAGAATGACTCAGCCTCCTATCAGCCTTCTATCATGATCTCCTGCCTTCTATCAGGCTAAAACCATCTGTGTCCCCATAGATCTTGTGCAGATGGCAACAGGGCAGCCATGGCATCCTCACGACAGTCCATCACAGGATTCATCACAAGGTGAGACATACCAGCTCTGAACAAGCAATGTCTCAGTCACCCAAAACAAAACATTAAGAACCACCAAAGCAGTCTCAAAGCTCTTGCCTATTTCAACAGAACCCTTGGTAGAAGTGCAGGGAGCCTCAAGAGTTATTGCAATCATCTTCTGTTGGTTTGTAAAAGTTTCTAATACATACAACTGGATTCCTTGTAGCATGTTACTTCAGCAGCTTTCCTCAAACTACTTCAAATGAGAAGAGAGACAGGAGAGGAGAGGAGAGGCTGATTCTGTATGGAGCATTAACGTTAACAGTTGATACCAATGACAGAGCCAGAGGGAAAAGTATGGAGCAACTGGTGGTCTCACCTGAGGTATGGGACAAAATGAGAATTGTGTGAAGCTCCCAGACCCCACAAGATCCACCTTAGGAAGAGATGGAAGTAACATTTTCTCACATTCTCTTTGTTAAGACCACAGACCAGCTGCTCTCTGCCTAAAAAGTCCACAACTTTCAACAGGAGCAGCTTTGCAAGTCAGTAGCAAAATGCAGAACCGGGAGCATTGCTGATTGTTTCAGCCTCCCTAATACTCCTCCTGAACAGCTCTGATTTGACTGTATTGACCATCTACACTCAAAGGAGATAAAACTACTTTCCACAGAGAAATGCAGAGTTAAAGGACTTGACAGAAAGGACCATAATTAATAATCTTTTTTCTACTAGCAAGTAGCATTCAGTTCTGTACTTTCTATACCTTTGACCCCCAAATACCTCTGATCCACCTTACATTTGATTCAACGTCAGTAAATAACTTTCTCACATAATCATAATATTTGAGATTTTAACCATCTAAATATTATCTCCTAAAAAGAAAACTCAGCTACATGTGGGTTCATACATTTGATTTCGTACAATCATATTTTTTGACTCATACAGGCAGAGCATTATCTGACTGAGATCTCCAGATCGGTTTTTGGAAGCATGCAGCAGGCCTGAAGTGGCAAGATCCGAAGCTAAGCACAGGGAACCCGCCTATTAGTGTGTTGCTGCTTCCAGCACAGTGCAGGCTACGGCATGGCAACAAACAGCCATTAATTGGATAGCAGCAATCCCATGGGTTTAGGTTCATTCCTCTATACATCACATGTTCTTAAGTGTTAAATTCAGGGCTAATTATTTCCCCTCTCCCTTCGTCTATTGGGTAAAATAGCTCCTGGACAGCCACTGATGGCTTCTTACAAATATCTCTGCTGATGAGTACAGCTCTCCTGAGGTGGAGTTTTGGAACAGCAGGCTCCAAGACAGAACTGAAGACCACATTCACAACATGCCAGAGATTAGTGGCTTTCAATGCTATTTTTTTTTCCTTCCAGAAAGCCTCTCTGCACATCCCTCAGATCAGTACAGGAACTCAGCACACAGCCTTGCAAGGTGCCAAGCAACTTCTGTCTTCGGTGAAAGCAGCAGGAGTTAAAAGCACTGAGAATTGAGCCCTTGCAGTAAGTGGCTGACATGACAAATGGCAGTGATCAGCCAGGCACCCCCTAACACCACCCTTGTACATTCCCACGTTACATTTACCAGCATCAAAGAAGAGGTCACCAGGTGCTGTAGCTTGTTGCTGCAAGGTAATTTCAGTTCCCTCTACTGAACTTTGCTTCCTAAGCACTGGGGAATAATCCACCTCCAATATAACAAATCAGACAGCAACATACGTTAGGAATTTGCTGCAACTCCAGCCCTCAGTGACCAGTACAGTTTCAACTGTAAACAAACAAAAAGCTGCAATTTGCACCAACTGTTTACTCTGATTTTAAGTCAGGGTAAGCTCTGCCAGAACAAATTATGCCTCCCTTTGTCTTCAAGAAAGCTGGCCATAGACTAGAGGAATTGAGACTTTTTTTTTATTATTATTATTTTATTACATAAGCCATCTGATTAGATAGATCCATTTTCACCAACTTTTACTTCTCCATAAATGACCAGGGATTTTACAGCTTTTATTATACCCCTTGTCTTCCACCATTACTCATATATAGATTTATAGCCTGTATGCTCACTAGAAGTTAGGATAACAAAAAGAAAAATAATCATCTGCTGGTGAAAATCACAGTACAAACACCAGTGAATGAGGTCAAACTCATGGGCACTCCTCCCTGTTAATGTAAGTAATGAAGCTCCACTTCAACTTTGGGGTTGCTACAGCAGAGTGCTTATGCTTTGCTCAGCTGTGTAAAAGCTTAGTATTCTATGTGAGACTCCAGCTCCCAACCAATTTCCAGCATAGATGGACTAGTGCACAGGGAAAATAAACTGTTGCAGGCTTTGCTTACCCTGGTTATGAAGAACTTCCTCAAGGCATACTGCTTTGCGTAAGGCTTGCACAGTGATTGGGTTGGGAAGTCACAGGTGAGGACATGGGACTCCCAGCTGAGAGAATCCAGAACTTTCCCATTACCATCTTCGGCATGTTTCTCTTCCGACTGCCCCATCTGGAACTCTTGGTTGTTTTTACCATCTGACATTTCAACAGCCTAAAAGAAGCAAAACAACCCTTTTAAACAACCAAAATGTTTGATCAGATCTTTTATATAAATGAAATGCTAGTGTATGCCAGGCATCTGAACTTGGTAAAAATAAATGAGTACTTCAAACCCACTATTGTTCTCAAGGTCTCTGACCTTTAAAACGCCATTCTATTCTATTTGTAAACAACTCTGACATGACAGAACATGTGAATTCCACTTCACCCTTTGGTAGCAGCATCTATCCCAAGACCTCAAAGTGTTCTGCAAATATTAGCTAAGACTCATATGCCTCTAAAGAACTACTCTTCTACAAATATTAGCTAAATCTCATGCCACACTGCTCAGCTCATAGGAGCTCATAGGAGGCCAGTGCTATTGCCCAAGTTCAGAAAGGTTCAGTGTTCTGGTTAAGGTTATTCGAGAGTTCTGTACCAGACACCAGCAATAGAAATACGAGATTGTAAGACTTACATATGCCTGGACCTCCAGCAACTTGTCCAGGGTATTGCCCAGGTTTGCATTTCACTTTGGGCAAGTCTAGTAACACTGGACCCAAGTCTGAAACAATCCAAATTTAATCTATACAAGAGAAAGTAGCCAGGAAAACTAAAACAGGAGTTTAATTCTCGCCTATCCCCCACCTTTAGCTCTGACGCTCTTTTGTGCACAAGGGAAGCCAATAAATAGGAAGCCTCAACTTACATTTAGCAATGACCAAGAAGAGGCATAGGGGCCTGAGTGCAACACACCCCACTGTTACAGCAAGCAGGGATGAACTCTGAGATGAAGTCACCCAGATTTCAGGCAAATAGCAGTTTAGCATAGCTGCATTGGCACAGCCAGATTGCTTGCTAGCCAACGATGGACAGACTCAAAGATAAGGCCATGACAACATCTTCATGGTAATCAGCCTAAACTGCCTAGGATGATTCTTTGGAAGCAATTCATTTCCAAGGAAGAGAAAAAAAATTCTTGACTTTCACTTGTGCTTCTCTTCAGTAAAACTGGTCACGGACATTTGTGTAATGAAACTTTTCAACACCTCTTGTCAGAGGATGTCACTCCAGGCTCTGCCCAGAACCACCTTTTATGTTGATTTTGATTCCCTTTAAGGCTATGCTTCCAGACGCCCTTCCCTACACCTTGTTTTAGGTAACCCAGAATTCCCAAGTGGCCTTTCTACTTTAGGATTACTGAAAGAATTGACAAACTGCACAAAGCTGAAAGCTCAGAGCCTGAGCTTGCAGAGTGGAAAAACAGAACAAACTTTCCAAATGTGCTTTTTTTTTTTTCTCCTGTAAATGACAGTTTATTTCCATTAGTTTAAGAATAATATCTTCCTAAAGGTGTGATGCTACTCTTTAATAACACAAAATTGCACCAGTCTAAGATGATAAATCTGATGCCTAGTCTCCAATTATAGATATCACGTTGGTTGTGTTTTTTGTTTGGTTATACTTCTCCAGAATTTTCTCCTCTGCGTTTTATGCAGCTTGCAACACACATTGAATGTAAACTGGAAGTGCTGAGTGACGCAAGCAACAACAACAGCAGACAGCATGAGGTTTCAGTTCTTCAGGTGGTTACTTTATTGTTGGATAGAAGGGGCTGCTCCACGTGGGTGCTGGCTTGTGGCCTTTCTGTAACATATTGTTGACTCATGGAGTGCACTGTGAAAACCTGACAACACCGAGGAGTGTTCCCAGAGACTTCCACACGCTGCAGGAGTAAAAAGAGGTCTCTGGATGACTTCATGACAGTATACTGTTAGTATCTGCTTCCCCAGCAAGAAAAACTATTTGTTACTACAGTGCACGTAATGTCACAGGCAAAATGTAGAACAAAAAGCAAGAACTAGGAACCTGAGACAGCCAGCCAAACTCTGCAAGAAAACAAAACCTGCATCGTTCGCTTGGGGTGGGGTGGGATGGTCCAAAACAAGCAAAGTGAGGGACTGTTTCCCTGACTGCATGCGTCTCAAGACTGGGTACCTTCCTGGGGTAGAAACGAGGTCACAGCTTTTGGTGCAGTGGCAACGGCATGTTTTGGTGCTGACTGACAGAGCTGATCAGACCAGAACAATCTCAGTCTTTGATACAATGCTTCAAAGTGGAAAGGAAAACAAACAAAACCAAAAGAGGCCTGAAAGCCATTTTCCTCACTCTACAACTCGAATTACTGGAACGATGAGAGTCCTTCCATCAATAGAAGTGATTTTTCAGTCAGCAGAACTGATACGTAGGCCAAAAGGGTTGAGGAACGCTTCTGTTCTTAACAAGAAGACTCCCTCTTCTAAGAGGTCTGCTGGAGATGTTCTCAGACTGTTACTTTACTCACTTCCCAGTAGTTCGGCTTTGCCTCTTGGCCATTATGCACCCTGCTCCCATCCCCTTCACCACCTCTTGAACCCAGGCGTGCAGCTGAACACGGCACACCACCGAACACGGTTACCAACTTCCATGCAGGAAATGCTTCTGAGGCAACACAGCTGGGGCAGTCTAACAGTCCTAGAGAGTTTCCTTTTCCTCAGAAATAGGGTAGGCTCTCTCTTACAGGATCCTTCAGCTCATAATTCCCTGGCTGAGGAGCAGCTCTTAAAGCTTGTCTTATCATGAGTGATGGAAAGCGCCCACCTCCTCATGCTGTCCCATGGTAGATGGAGCAGAGATGTGCGCAGCTGGAATTACCCTAGCATAAGTCACAAAACAACCAACAACCCAGCTGCTGTTCCTCTTCTCCTCCCTGCACAGAGCCCCGGAGACTCCCTGTGAACCCCAGCCTCATAGTGTGAGCCCCCCTCTCTTCCACACACCCAGCTTAAGGCCAGCACTACCATGAGGCCCCAGCACCGCAGCAGGTTCCCCATACCGCAGGATACCCTATAAACACAAGCTGAGACACTCCCTACCCCAAAACACTTCATGCTTAAGCAGACAAGGAAAACAAAAGAAAAAAATAAAGGGTGGCCGTAACAAGTGCACACAGTTATTCTGAGAGCCAGGAGTTTTGTTGCAGAGCCACTCAAGGCTTACCACTGATGCTGCTGGTGACTTTCTAATAGCCCAGGGGAGCCACGGCACACCTGGATGTCTCATGCTTCCCAAAATCTGTGTGTGCATCCGAGGAGCGAGTGGAGCTAGGTGACCTTGTCTTTGATGTCGGATATCGGGATGAAGAGAGGATGAATTTGTCTTCAGAGTGGTGTCTTTCTACCTATTAATTTATGCCACACCACAGATTTCTTTTAAAGGAGGAGCAGTTGTGATGCACAGCTTTCTCATCTCCGCTTTCCTGCTGCCCTATCCAGCTGTCCACAAGGAGGTCACATCCCCTCTAAAAATCTTTGCTTTGCAGCTTACTTCTGCTCATTTCAAAGTTGCTGCCAGTGTTACATTCTTTTTGGAGAACCCCAGGGAACTTCTAACCTCAAAATTAAGCAAAACAAAGTCCTTTGAATATTTTCCAATTAACCTGAGATTGACACTAGCGTTTTGCTTTCAGTGCTCCCAGTATTTGAACAATTGGATTTCTTCTCTATGCCCCAGCTGCCTGGCCTTTGGCAGCATCAAAGATCTAAGTAATTCCTTTCCCAGAGATCACTCTGGTTTTAAAACAGAGAGACCCTTTTCTGCTAAGTTCACTTATACATTGCTCTTCTAGGCTGTGTCATTTAGCAGCAGAGATCAGAGAAGCCTTGCAGCAGCACAAATCCCGGGAAGATATCAAAGAGGAGTCAGCATGGCACGTTTCTCACACACTAGCAATGAGGGCAAAGATAATACTGTTGAAAGCCTTCCAGGTTGCATCCTGCTCTCGGTCTCACAGCATAACATCCAGAGAAAAGTCATGCTGCCATGACAGAGGGTTAGTTCCGAATCTCCAGAGCCAACGGGGAGCGAAATTGCAATGCCATAAAAATATCAACGTTTATAATTCATGCAAGAGACCGGGGGTACCAGGCACAGTCCCACACTGCTGTGAGCAGAAGCACACCGGCCCTGGGGAGCCTGTGGGCACCACGGCCCGTTAACCAACCTTCATTCGAGCTGATGGCGATGCTGGAACATGCGACCCTTGGCAATGCACGCACAAACTCTCTCACTCAGCTGGAAATGCAGTTCTGCCAAAGTCACAGCTGGACTCTGCACAACCCTAAACAAAGGGAGAAGGCTCCCAACATGTAGTAAAACAACAGCACTCCCTGCAGATAAATGCAGTGCCTAGGGAACAGCCACCCTGTTAGAGATGTGTTTATACCGTGTGTTGTCCGCTGTTACTTAGGTAAGGCCCACCTAAAAGCTCCTGGGTAGGTTGCCAATGTGTCCCAACTGTGAAGTGGGGAATTTGAGAGCAAATTGAGTGCTAGCCTGCAAACATCCCTCTGAAGAAGGCAAAATTGCCACCCACGCTGTATAGATAAGAAAACCGAAGCACAAGAACCAAGCGTACCAGCTCTCCCTCCCTTCTCTCTAAACCACAGACAACAACAATCCTTCCCTCAGTTACTGGACCCGAAAGGCTACTTCAGAAAAAGGGAAGCTGCCCCTTGCCTAGAACCAAGTAGCCAAGAGTAGCTAGAGGTAACAGCCTGAAGCCTACACAGTGCCTTCCATAGCTTTACCTTGAGATCTTTCCTCCAGCACACCCCTGGGGTCCTTGCTTGTACTCAGGAAAACATGCTGTGCTCTGTATGCTCAAGGAGTTCACCTTCAATAAATAATCCAAGCAAAGGGAGCCAGTGCTGGCACAGTTGCACGGGTTGCTGCAGGGAGAGTTTGCAGCAATGTCAAACTCACCTTTGCTGGTGGCTGCTGCCACTTGCTGGGAAGGAATCCAGCCCCCAAAGGGGAACACTTAGGAATATCAAGAGCCAAGAGCAATTTAGCCCCCATTAACTAATATCAAATATAAAGGACATGTTCCAGCACATAGCAAGCAGCCATTACCTCCTTGAAAGGCAGTTAAGAAAGATCTGGGGTTTAGGACCCAGAAATGATAAAATGGAA